TAACAGGAGGCTTTTCCGATGTTTCCGTCTGGTCTGCCTAATTTGGCTTCTTTTTGCTCTGTCAAACATGTTTCAACTACTCACCTGTAGTTTCTCAGCTTAAATCCATGATTAAGCAATTACGTGTAGAGATTAGTGACCGTTAATCGATAGTTATTCAGATATCGTGAGATGCGGTCGGGTGTGATGTAGGTTTCAGAAAATCATTTTCTTTATCGTGCCAACGTTTCGATCTTTTATTGAGAACATCTTCAGGGCCTGAGATTTACAAACAATGTTTACATTTAACAAATACATGTAGGATGTGGAAAAGTGAATTTATACAATGCAAAATATATTTTATATTCAAACACAGTATTTCTATTCACTCAAAGTGTTTGTCTTCTGTGTAATTGTGCCATCCTTGCGTGTTGTGTTGAGAGTGCCAGTGAGATTTTGCTGTTTTATGTTTATATATGTTTGGTTTTGAAGGGGTGGGGAAGGAAGTCGGTATATAAAAGACAATTTTGTTTTAGGCTTCGGCTTCTTTGAAGTGAAAAAAGCCGACAAAGGGGAACAATGTGTTGGTAATAGTTCGGCCAGATTATCTTTTCAGGATTATATAGAAAGGGGATAAATAGGAAAAAGAAATCTAAATTGTTGGAAAATTACACTATGTGTATCCCAGGCCCTGAAGATGATCTCAATAAAAGATCGAAACGTTGGCACGATAAAGAAAATGTTTTTCTGAAACCTACATCACACCCGACCGCATCTCACGATATNCAATTATATATATATATATATATATATATTTTATACGTTCAGAATCCAACCTGTCGGGCTTATCGACAACTAACACCAACCTCGATCCCATATCAATATTAAGCGCCATCGCACACTGCAGACTTTTAGTCGGCACTCGGCCAAATGTTTAGTTGGTTACCTGTTAAGTATTTGGTCTTTTAGGAGTGCGCAAACACAACTCAACACAACAAGATACCTGCCGACTAAACAGTTGGATAGGCTGCCCGATTGCCTTCCAACTGAGAAGTTGGCCAACTATCGGACGACTGCTTATTCATTGTACAGACTACACGATCGTTGATCGACATGAAATTAGCTTATTATGCATTTTGTTTCACGGGATTTGTAATAAATACATTTAAACTTACAATTAAAAAATTAATTTAAAAACACTCATTTATAATTACTAATTAGTGTTATTTATTAAAATTGTTTTTATTATTATGAATAATTAATTCAAAATATAATCGAATTGATTCAAATTTCAAATAAAATTAAAATGTTTGTTTGGCTTAGGCGGCCTCTTTACCACAAAGGTTTCCGACATTTCTAATTTTTGTAACTCCTTTTTAACCAATTTGTTTAAACTACAAATAGGATTCACCCAACATTTATAGTTTTTCTTCATCATTTTTCAAATTTCAAAAATTCGAGGAAATACACCAAAGAGTATATTGACCCAATACAATTTTTTGTATATAATCCACACTTTCACTCAGTCAGACAAGTTCAGCCCTCGCATTTCGAGAGGTGGGTCAGTTTTTGTGTCACCCTTCTTACATCCCTGTTATCTACACGGTTCTTCTGCCTTTTGCCATCTTCAGAGATGACAAATTTATAATTTTATAAAACAATAAATATTAAAATACTTATACATCCATGTCGACAAAGCTTAAATTAACACAGACCCAGCACTGAAGCTGGCGAGAAGCATCTAACACAAATGCGGGGATGTGAAGTGTCCAAACTACAAATAATTGGTGAAATTTTCTGAGAAACAGGAATGATGAAGCTGTAGTTCGATCTTTTTCTCGCTGTATTGGCAAGTTGGACGAGTTTCGTCTTCTCGTCAACTTCTGTGTTGGTTTTCTACTATTGTCTTTTACAATTGGTCTTTTATACAATTTTTTGTACTATCCGATGTTGTTTATTATCTAGAAATCCAACCTTCAGGCCTGTCGAACACAAATCTCATGTTGATCCCACAAGAAATTCGAACAAATTAACCTAGTGACTATTGGATTTTGATTAAATTGCCAGTGTATTGGCCACCAGTAGTTTTTTTCAGCTCTCGCTATCTCCTGTGATGGGTCAGTCCTTATATCACCATGCTTACATCCCTATTACCAACGCCATCTTCAGGGATGACTAATTTCTAATTTCAGAAAAAACTATAAATATTAAACTACTTTACATCCATGTCGTCAAAACTAAAATTAAAATAGACCCATGCGATGAAGGTGAAGAGAAGCCGAAAATAATTTATGAAATTTTCTGAGAAACAAGAGTGATGAAGGTGTAGTTTGGTCCTTTTAGGTCAATCTGGCCAGATTCTAGCTGTTTTGTCTTGTTAGACACGTTTCGACTTCTCGTCAACTTCAGTGGCGGGTTTTCTATTATTGTTACATTAATTACATTTCATTAATTCATTTATATTAATTATACTTTTAATCTAACGTGTGTGGTGATTAGTGACCGTTGTCGATAATTATTCAGAAATCGTGAGATGCGGTCTGGTGTGATGTAGGTTTCAGAAAAACGTTTTCTTTATCGTGCCAACGTTTCGATCTTTATTGAGATCATCTTCAGGGCCTGGGATATATAAACATTGTTTAAATTTAACAAATGCAATTTATACAATGTTTGTAAATCCCAGGCCCTGAAGATGATCTCAACAAAGATCGAAACGTTGGCACGATAAAGAAAATGTTTTTCTGAAACCTACATCACACCAGACCGAATCTCACGATTTCTGAATAATTATTTTAATCTAACGTCTTGGTTGAGATTAAAAGTGTTTCTTCTGCCTTTCGCCATCTTCAGGTACGACTAATTTCCAATATCAGAATAAACCTACTAAATATAAAACTAGTTGTACATCAATGTTGTTACAATTATTTAGAGGTCGTGAGAGGTAGGTTTAGAAAAACGTTTTCTTTATCGTGCCAACGTTTCGATCTTTGATTATTTAGAGATCGTGAGTTGCGGTCTGGTGTGATGTGGGTTTAGAAAAATAGTTTCTTTGGAGTGCCAACGTTTCGATCTTTATTGAGATCATCTTCAGGGCTCAAAGTGTGTGTTTTCTGTATAGATGTGTCATTGTTGTGTGTCGTGTTGAGAGTGTTAGTAAGATATTAATATTTTTTGTTTATATATGTTTGATTTTGATTCATTTTTCTATTAGGAGTCGGCTTCTTTGAGGCAAAAGGGGTTGTTATAGTTAAACTTAAAATACAGAACTACTTAAGATAGCAAGCAGCTGAAACACGTCTGGCAGTCCAAAATGATCGGAAACTACCAAATCGCAATTAGTTTTTGAAAATATTCGTTATGAAAAAAGTCGTTATAAATTTCAGTATTTCTTTCGCAAAATAAAATTATAGGTATGAAATTATTGTTAAGAAATTATAGGGGTTAAAAGAAACGCAATTAAGTCTATTTGTGTGGTTCATAAATACTCCTCTTTTCAGCATTGGGCACAGGTATTAGTCTATTAAAAATAATTAACAAATAGAAATTTGATGTGGGTAATGGAAAGATAAAAATTATTTTATTTTATTGCCTCCGGCTAAATGAAGGTCGTGTTAACCAATTGCCATTTTCATCTTCAGTACTCGTTTCCAATTTTGTATAAAGCAATTTTCCATGTCATTTTCCCGTTCAGCATCCCGGGCGATTTTCTCTTTTTCTCTTGATGACGTCGGGACCTAAAAATCCTGCTTAATCTTTATCCAGCCCATGGCAAAATAGCCCTCCATCCCGAAATAGAAGATTTCGACAAAACTCCCAATTAAAAACGATGCCCCCCGGATGTCTCTCGTGCAGTTAAGCTAAACTCAGATCGGGTACAGTCGGGAGATGAGCAAGTACAGTCGAGTCAAGACCGGTTTGCGGCCGGTGAAGATAGCGCCACCGACTGCACACGACCCAGTCACAGGTCCAACCAGAACCGGCATCAAGAAAAAGCCGATAACCATTCCCTTTACGTTTCTTTTATAACTATTTTATTTTATAAACCTTTCTTTGTATTTCTTTTGAAGATTATTAAACTTTATTCATATCATACGATGGTTTTTATTACATTTAATATAGCCACAGTCTTGATGCTAAAACTGTTTTTAGTTGAGAATTCCCGTGCTTGGACGTAAAAACTTAAAAATAAAACAACTATAGTTTAAACAATCGAGACACATAAACAATAGTCTGATAAGCTGGCGAACATTTCCTTTTCAACAATACAGCTGGCACTAAATCCTATTGGTTTACGCTAGACAAGCGGACGCTAGGTCGACGGTTGGAACGATTTTTTTTAAACCCTTTAAAATTAAAAACGATTAAAACACATCGGCTGAAGAGAAAACATAATATTGCTTCGTGCTGCCTCCCTCAGAGAAAAAAAAGTTTAATAAACTTCCATCTCTACATTATAAGGCGTAAGGCTAGAACGAATCTCTTCCTCAGCTCCGTGGGCTTCCATTCGTTACGAGACACTCATAAATTGTGCATTTTGAAACATAAAACAGGAAAAACAGGGGGATACGACTTTTTATTGCTCTTTATCAGGCAAAAGCTCGTCTCTAACAAATTCATTTTATTTGCCGTCTGGCTAAAAATAATTTTCAAGTTGTTTGTTCAATTGTTTACGACTCTATAAATGGGGTTTTTCTCTTATCTCGAAATTTTATAGTTTTCGATGTCCCTTCAGAAGATCCAGGCCGGTGTTTTTCACCTTTCATAAGAAAAAAAAACGAATAGGTTTGTTCTTTTCACCCTGTTAAATGATACCCAACACTTGACTGGCAGCTTCATCAATACTTAATCATATACATTACTGTTTGAACTTGTCCTGCAACCTTTTGCCAAGTTTTCAAGAAGTTCCTTCTCAATATCGTCGTAAAGGAATAGGATTTCCTTTTAAAGGATACAAGGTTCAATAGGGTTTTCTCTATAGCGAGAACAAGGTAATTTCTTCAAGAAATAAAAACAAAAGTAAATAATTTTTAAATCGTTTATTATTTTTTTTAATCACATATTCTTTTTTGCAAGATTTTTTTATCTCTTAATCACTTAGTAAATAATACTTCTCTCCATTTCTCATTATAACAAAAAGTACAAAAAATGTGAAATTCGCCTCGCTCTTTTCTACACACTATATAATTTCGTTATTAGTAATTTTTCTCACATATTTTAAATATTACAAAAATTTGACTGGACATTTTCAAAAAATGAAACAAGGGTGTTTTTGACAAGTTTTTTTCTTTCTTCTGCTCTATGAGCTTTTTCACATTATAATCGGAGGCCTTGTAATTTACAAAATACTGAAGTCTCGTTAAATATATTATTATTCCTTACATTAATATAATATTTATATCATATACAACCGACTGGTTGATAATTGAGATCATGACATACAAATTTTTAAATATTAATAGATATAAACTTTTTTCTCACTTTTTCCTTTTCAACAAATATGAAAAGGAAAAACTAAAGAAAATACGTGGTACAATTAATACGCAACAGCAGAGTTTCGAAACAAGAAATAAACATTTTAAAACCTCCCAAAATAATATATAATATACAAATATTTTCTCTCTATCACATTGTGGGGTTGGTACTTGGGCATTCCCCTCATTACTTTTCAAAAAAACAATCCTCAAAAAATCAGATCATAAAAAATTAAAAAAATTAATACAAAATTAATGACTGACACTAGCCCTAATGACAAAAACTCTGCCCTAACTTTTAACACACAAGTTTTTGAAAGACGACACAACCTATTAAAGCTTTTATTACTTTCTATACACAAATATATTTTTATTCAATAGTAATATATATTAATAATATATATTGTTATAATATAATCAAATCACAAATTTTATATCTTGTTATTGTAAATTCAAAAAATTGTCCTTTCAGTTATAAGCTCACCATTATTAAAACATTTCCGATATACAAATACTTCAATAATTATTATATATAACTATATATTTGAAAAATAATATATACTAATAGAATCACATAGAAGATATCCTTAAATGGTATTTTGTGTGTTACAAACTACAAAGCTTCTGATATGGGTGGTTTAATTTTTTGCATTTTTTTTCTTGAGATGTAATACAATTTTACCGTGAGAAAGGGAACTTTTGCACAGCGAATATCTCAGTCCAAAGTTAATAAAACATCGATTTACAAATCGACTCTGTATTAACATCGACAAAATGGAAACAGAAACAAATAAATCAAATCACGCTCTTTAGAGTTGTAATGTATATACTATAAAGGTATCGTCAAAATGTTATTTTTAAACCTTATAAAAAATATTTTGTTTAAATCTATTAAAATCTAATCCTACAAAAACTAAATAAAGAGAAAGAAAAAATTAAAATTGTTACTTCGTAAAAAAAATGTTTTTTATGTGCACGGTGAAATACATATAGATTATATACTAATATAATTTATATTGCCATACTTTTTTAGACAAACGTTGACGACGAGCACGATGACGATGAACGGGTAGAAAAACGAAAAGAAGTGCTCATTGTAAAAAGACATCAGGCGCCGCCGTAGCCGCCGGGTACGAGAATTTAATTTTTCAGTCTTTTGGGGAAATTCCTCTCTCCAAGATTTTTTGTTAGTTGGCACCCCGTTTCGCGGTTGTTCCCCGGACGTTAACGTTTTCACTCTAGGTAAGACCGGTAGAGTTTCTTCTTCGTGATGTCGAAATCGTGTGAGATCATTATTGTACCTCCGCGAGTGAGGTTTCTAAAACAAACAAAAAAAAGGAAAAATTAATCACTTTTTTCTTTTGTAGTTCACTTGGATTTTTTTTTTCATTAGGGAAAATACTCACTTGATGAATTGAGGGAGGATGTTCGTCCACGACCCTGACGACCGGTCTTGCCTGAGTGTCAGAGTCAATTCGAAAGTCGAGACCGTGTTCGGGTCGCACTTGACCGTCGCTATCCTCCTAGCCTGTTGGAAATCCGCCGGCAGGAATTCGACGTAAAGTGTGCAGCCGCGCAGGCCGCACGGCTCGACTTCGGCTAGTGACAGGACTTCGGAGGACACTCTCTGCAGGAGGTCCGACGGCAGCAGGACTTCACCGCAGGACAACTGTTCCGACTTGGCCGCGCGCAGCTCCGTCTCGAGCCTTCTCGCCAAAGCCAACTCGCAGTTCCATGATAGCATATCATCCCGCACACCTAAAATTAAAAAAAAATCCAATTCTTAAATCCGTCAAAGCCGTTTTTTTTTTAATTTAAATATTTAAAAAAAAAAATTTTGTTAGTTTGGAATTGATAAACCGAGGATATTTATGTTGTTTTATATTTTTTTCTATAGAGAATTTCATTATTTTATAACAAAGTTCGCGATATCGCCGATCAAAGCTAAGTCCCGTTTTTACGATCCGAAAACCCTTCACAAATTAAAGCGGAAAAATCATTTCGGACTCACCTCTGGGAAACGGTGTCAGGAAATTGACAGATACAGGACATGGTAATACTTCCATAGTGGCACTGTAAAACCGGCTTTTCTTAAACACTAAAGTTAAACTCCGGTTGTGACCGTGACTACTGCTGAAGACCGACTGAGTGCAACATCAGCTGTGCGGTGCCTCTTCATTGCCAGTCGAGGGGAGGTGGTGGGGGCCCCCGGCCTACGTGAGCTCCAACACGGACTCGTTGGAGGGGATACGATGAGCTGGCGGGGCAGCCGGGGACGAGGCGGGGGAGCCGACGAATGGGCCGGGGACGCGGGGAGGGGGGCAACCGGCGAGATGATGAAACAATAGCCCGGCTCCGTGTGAGCCTAGGGACACGGGCTTCCTGGAGGGGGAACCGGTGGAGCCGCTCTCGCCACAACTTTTGGCCGATTTGCATCAGCCGAGATTTTTGGGCCCGGGCCACGATTTCCAATGGACAAACACTCAGAAAAAAAGTCCGTTTTTACTTTAACCATTTATATTACAAGATCCCTGCAAAAAGAATGTGCTAATTTTGACCTGACTCGATTGATTCGTTACTAGCTTATTAGTAAACCTTTGAAACAGCTAGGTTCGACGATCCCTGTTATTACCTAAAAATAACCATTTTTCAAAAGAATAAATTGTAAAAACATCATACAAAAACTGTGTGGTATTTAGCGACCGATAATAATCATACAAAAACTATTCAACGTTTCAATCTCTTCTACTTAAGCATATTTAGACCATTAGACAGAATATCCCAGAAATTACGATTACCTTCGAATTGAAAACAACTACTAGTGTAACGTCCAAAGATACTGTCAAATCCCGTATTCTAAATATTCAGGAACTTTTTCGGACCGACAGACGCGTTTCGGCTTCTCACCATTCAGTACTCGATCTTCTACAACTTTTCCGAAATTTGTCCTTTAAAAATAAGTTCATTGTCTTTAGAACTCGTACTTTACTAATGCAACTTCCATGCCATAAGAGAAAAAATATAATTGGAGCAAATTTGCTAAACCGAATTTTACCATCGAATTCAAGTTTCGACGATGGACTTCCAACGATAATACTTGGATTTGGTTTATAAATATTTACAATCGAAGACTGTAAGGACTTGTGTCAAATTGATAAAAAGGGATACGGGGGCGATCTACTTGTAGTTTCCGATCATTTTACCCGTCTAGCTTGGATGGTTTTGCCATCTTACAATTTATCGTTCAATAGATAGAAATACATACAGGATACGCGAATAAACCCACTAACCTAGTTTCATATCGTTGTCTTTTTCTTTCCGAGGGTCTTTTATTTCGTAAAAGGAAGATTATTTCTATTTTGTTGAATTATAGTGTTTGCCTGACCGACCGTGGAAACTTTGTAATCTAGGGTACAAAGCCTTCGTGAAGACTAAAATTCATAACAATTAAAAAACCGCTCTTGTACCACAAACCAAAAAATCAAGTCAATAAATCGGCAATAGTGATTGGCAAATTTATAGTTGGTAGTCTTGCTAGTTTTAGCCAATATCCAGAAAGCCAGGTCCGAAATTAACCCCTAAGTAACGGAATGACCACGTCAGGTATTATTATGGGATAATAGTAGGCTCTAAGTTTAGAATATTTTCCACTTTTTACTAACTTTTGGATATTTGAGAGGTGGCTGTAAAGTCCGACTTCGGAGAGCCCGAGGATTAGAAAATTAAGCTGTAAGAATAACAGTTAAGCCAGTTTGGACCTAGATACGTATACATATTAAAAATGTTTGGATTCAAACCGTCGAATTTTTATTCAAAATTGTGCTTCCAGCCGAATCGATAGGGTTCTGGAACGTTCCACAAACAAGAATTAACAGTGAAAATTTCATTTTTTGTTCGATGTACGATGTCCTACGATCTATATATATACAATTATAAACGAAATAATTAAATTCAACGTTTATTTATTCGTTCATACAGTTATTTCTTCGAGGTTTTTGTGTTTTTACACTATGTGCGATTGTGCGGTTTATTTTATATGAAGTGTCAATATACCCTGCGTGTATATTTTTTTATGCTGAATTGTAGAACCCCCTCTCCGAATATAAAAAATATATAAATTGTAAAAATCTCTTTCCGCGTCGTTGAACAGTACGGTCAAAATTACTTCCATCACATGTCCCAAGGCGAAGGGGAAAAAAGAGAAGACGCCGTTTTCACGACGTGACGAACAGCAGCTATATAACGAGAACTAGTTTTCGGATGTTTTAGCATATCCACGATTTTTTTTTCTTTCTTTTTAGATTAACTCGTGTCTCTATTGCTTCTGAATTTGAAAATAACCGCAACGCCGGAGTGGTAATAATAAAATAGAATAACAAGCTGGTTTCTATGAAACGTTAATATCAGGTGGGATGGCATGTATAATTTTCATGGAAGTTTGTACATTTAATTGTTCCTACGGCCGTTTACCTCATTCTCACAATGCTCGAAAACCTATTATTACACGGCGGAAAAAGACGGGTTCAAGAAAAATTTGATTCGCCGTTGCGGCACGATGCTAATTTTCCCAAAATTGCTCCTTTAAAAATGTAATTTTCCATAGCTGATTAATATTAAACCGTGTTTTAAAGATATTTTTGTTTCCTTTAATAAAACACTGTTTTATCCCACAAGGTTGCGATACTTCTCACACTAAAATTATAAAGCCGAAGGCGAAATCTACCTTTGGGTTCCGACGATCCCTAAAGACATTGTTCTTTTTCTTTTTTTTTAATAGAAAAAGCCCTGAAAGAAAATAAGTTTTCTAAACGGCCCGAACTGGTCCCCGGGGGAGGATGATGGCCGTGTCCCGGTTCTCGATCCGAGGAACTTTCTACGCCCGCTTCTTCCCCAGTCCTTTCACGGCCGGAATAAAATTACGCCCGACTAATTATCTTCGGTCTGACGAAAACGGCAATGATATCATCAGCGTGGAGTGGGGGGTCGGTAAAGGGTGGTTCGATGATGGAAAATTCCTACCCTGCACATGGGCCCCAGGACCGGCATCATAACTAGCCCCCACGGTCAACAAAAAAGGTCTCCTGCCCCTTCGGGTTCTACCTTGCCTTTTTTTGGGACGAACCCCTGCGGAGGACATGCTCAGACATGAAAAATCGATCGTGTTCTGGAACGTTCACGGCCCGTTATCGAAACACGAAATTGGCACCGTTCATGCACAAGGGGTGAAGGGGCACGTTAAATTTACTTGCCCAGTCCCGGCGAACAACCTATTATCATTAAGGTATACGGTTCCAGGCCAAATTTTAAAAAATATATCAAAACGGATTTTACAAGATATAAGAACCCTCTCATTACTTTATGAAAAGCTAAGTTTTCACCACTTTGGTCATAAACATTTCCTAATTAAATCTTCTTTGTCTTTAAAACATTGTTATAGTAACCTAAGCCCGAAACAAATAGCATGTATTTAGTAGTCAAAATCGACCGTATTAATCATTTTAATTAATTATACTATTAATCCAAGTCTTGGTTAAGATAGAAAAGCAAGCAGACATAAATGGTGGAGTGAGAATGTTGTTCAATCTTTTTAAAAAGATAGTCCCAACTAATAGTTCGGTGTTTTCAACATACATATGCTGAATACAACGAACTGTGAGTAGGAACAATCTTTTTAAAAAGATTGAAAAAGCATGTGTCACGAGCAGGATTCGAAAACCACGGGATTGAAAAAGGAAATCAATACCCTGAAAAACACTGTATTTTTGTACTTTACGATCATCTTGGTCTGCCTAGCCTCTCGCCGGTTTTGACTTTCGTATTACCACACCGAAGGTCTCAACCAAGACCTTAGATTAAAAGTATAATTAATTAAAACAAATAAGAATTTTGAAATAAAATATTCAATTAAAGTAAATAAATAAATAAGAGAAGTGCCGAAAACGTAGCCTTTAATAAAGCATTGACTGCTAATATTCTAAATAAGTCGAATATATAATAAACGACTAGGCCAAATAAATAAAAACCAGGAAGGAAAAAATCCATGCAAATAAGAAGATGCAAAAATAAAACAAGATTGAAACAAGGCAGTACAAAACTATGAACGATTTTCATTCAGTTTTCTATTCATTCATTAATGATATTTAAAATAAAATAAATATGCATGTTAAATTTATTTACATCCTCCAACCGTACCTGATATTATTAGGACGACGTCGCCTACAGAACGGCTTCTACTCAAAACCGCCATTGTTTTATACAATGTTCAAAAAGAAAAATAAATCTTGAGAAAGAAAAAAAAACGAAAACTTGAAACGAAAAGGAAAAATGTTCTTCTGACGCGTCCTCCTCGGACGAACGGCAAAGCGCAAATGACAAGGAAAGCGCACAAGTACAAGTGCCATGCAAGTAGTTGCATGAACGTGACGTCGACTACCCTTGAGGTGAAATATCTCGAAGAGCTTCCCCGAGGAAAAATATACGAAAACGAAACATTACATGGGCAATAATCAGTTTTTTTATTTATCGTTTTAAAAAAAAAAAGTTTATACATATTTTTACACCCTTTTTACATTTGTTTTATGTGTTTTTTATTTTATGTGTATTAAATGTTTGAAGAACTAATAAATTTAACTTATAACTGTTCTGAAATGGGGTGAAAGGTTGAAATTTGCAAGATGCAATTATAAAGCCGTACTAGTTCATTTTTTACACGCGTCGTTTTGTCTTGATAACCTTGCTTTCACTTATGACTCACGATTGAGGATGTATTTTTTTTTTTACACAATATCCGAAATCGCACAAACCCGAGAGTGTAATTGATTTTTGTCTCTCACGTAAGTATCACCCCGCTGTGACTCACGGCTCATTACTGATTCCGCTCTTTCTGCTCTGCCAGTTCGGTTTCCAATGCGGCCCGGCATAAATCGGAATGGCTGATGAAATATTTCTTCGAGTTTTTCAACGTTTCGAAAAGCCGACCCCACGGGATTCTCGTCGATCCTTTTGTATTTTACAAAGGAAATCAATACTCTGAACAACACTGTATTTTTGTCGTTTCCGATCATCTTGGTCCGTGTACCTTCTCGCCGGTTTGGACTTTCGTATCATTTTTCGAGTTTCGTTTGTAAAACCAATCAAACCTGCGAAGATAGAACCAAGATGACCGGAAACAACCACACTACAGGTTCCTCAAGAACTCGTTACACTGAATCAGCAATTTTTTTTCCAGAAATAGCATAAGGTCGACTTTTTTTGTGTCGGCACGTGAGATTATTGACCATTTGAAAACATAATATACGAAAGAAATTATAGATGGTACATTTAATTGTTTTCAAGTCTATTATTGGCAGATATTTGTCGGGGGATTATCGAACCAGAAGTGTGTTTGGACTTCTGCCAATGCTGACGAACGCACGTTCGTATTTCCCGTCAGAGGTTCTCGAAAAGCCGAAATTCGTACAAACCCTGTTTTGTGTTGAACTGATCGACGCTGATCTGGGTTCGCTGTTTTATATTCCAGTCGCGTTTCATCAGTGAGGAACTGAAGATGTGAGCGCAATGCTAACGAGCGAGATGAGTGACAGTCGGATTGGTTTCATCGGCCTACCAAAACCTTAAACACTTTCTTTTTTTTTGTATTTTCAATTTCACCCCCGTACCCCCGGCATAACCCCCCTCGAATTAATAGTCGACTCTTTTGACGTGCGCATCTGCGAAAGGCAACCCCTTCGTCGCCCCGTAGGGTGCGAATCCAAAACCGGCACCAGATGTCAATTATTCCACTTTATCGGGACCCGGGCCCACCTATAAAGTCCAGCTGTGGCAGAAACACCTTTCTCGTGCCGATTGTTCTGCCCTACAGATGCCTATCTCCCGAATTTTTGGCCGCATATTTGTCAACGGTCCGCGTGAGGCGATGGGGTTGTAATTTAGGCCCTTAAGTAACCGGTGCTTCCTCCCGTACCCAAGAGGGTGGAAATTAACAATATTAACGATTAAATTAGAATAAATTAAAATACATTAATTTTAACCTATTTTTTCTTCTTTTTTTTAAAAAAAGATGCACGCAAGATAAAAGATAAAAATTATAAACGCTTTTTTTTGTATCTTGACCGTTTAACGTCAATCCAAAGAACACCGCAAAACAAAAAATAAACTTAAATACAGCCTACTTTTTTTTAAATAACAATTTTAGATGCACAGAAAAGTAATATAAAAAAAGTCCTATCAAGCGATATCGATATTTCAAGCATTATCAAGGAAGGAGTTAAGCATCAAGGTCAACCGAGAAATATCACTTTTCAGAGGCAGAAGGAACACAGTCAACAGTCTTCAACGACATTCTAATCCGTAATATTAATCTAATCTACAGACGAAAAAAAAACGAACGGCCAAAAAAATAAAAAATAAAAATAAACGAATTTTTTTTCGGTCGTAAATCCAAACAGGGTTTCTCAACCGACTAAGCACAGACTTAGATAAACGTGAATTATAATCAGGCTCAAATATCGGAGTAAAGAATGTTAAAGTTTTTGTTTCGATATTATTGTTATTTATTATTTATTAAAAAAATTTATTATATTATTTTTTATTAAGTTTTTTAAGCCCTCCCGAACGAATTGCTTTACAAGATAATATATTTTGTTCAAAGGATAAATGAGAAATCCTACATGAAAAGTTTTACGAAGAAGTCAATAAAAATTTCGCATAGTTTCTTTTGTTTCGAATTTTACGAGTGGAAAGTTTCAGGGATTGAATATTTTCGGTTTTGTTGAAAAGCTACGTAAACAACTGGGATATACTATAAAACAACCTTCAAAATATTTCCTACGTACAGTGCGTGTCATAAGGAAGCATAATGGAAGTATAGCGTGCTTTGTCTAAACTTTACAATAAAAAAAATGCGTGCAATTTGGCAAAAAACCATGCGGGTGTTAATAAGGATGAGATTTTTGGATTTCGGACGTGAACGCGAGTAACAGGACGTCCTCTTAAAACGCGAGTCGGGGAAATCCGTCCAAAATAAAAATTAAAAGAAATGTTCGTTATTTTAAACAATTTCGATTCATACTGAGGGAAATTGTTTAAATAATGCCAATAATTTTAATAATAAATTGGGGTCGGGAGCGTGGAGGAAGACGGGACGGGGCCGCGGGGGTCGAACAGCTGACCGGGCAAAGCGAGGGCGAGCCCGGCCGGCATCTTCCGACTTTATCCCGTACTTTCTCATTTTTTTAATTATCAAAAACTTGAGATTTCGCTCATTGTATCGGCTCTCGTGTAAAGAATACTGTCGCGGGATGAGCAACAGTTCTCGCGAGAGCAACAGGGTCCTTAATCGTTTTTTTATTTTTAAGGAAAAAAGCCGGTTATTTTATGTAGCGTTTACTGTGTAAAACTACATATTTTTACTGTGTAAAATCGTCAAGATTGAGTGTAATTTGTACTTGAAATATATTGTGTTGATAGTTTTTGTCGGGTTCAAATGCATATGAGGTTTTACGTGTCCACGGACTTTGATTTCTGTTTGTTGGTACGTGATGACTTTTTGGATTTTTTGTGTAGGTAAATGAGCTTGAATCGAGCGAATTGTGTAATGGTTTGACTACCCTGAATAGGTTGTAAGCAGGGATCCTCCACTCCGACCCAATAAACGTTTCCCCCTGAACTTTACCCCTTCGAACTTGACTCGCGCGTTTCGAGGACTTGAAGGATGTCGTCGGGACGTGCAGTTTTGCACTGGTGCGGGATACTTTGTAAGCAAGGCGTTTTAAAGTCATGGTATCTTTGCCTAATTGAATCGCCTTACCGTTGGGTTGTCCAAGCGTTTGTTGAAGCAGCTTGGGCCGAGTGACACTTTGCTGTTCCGCCTGGAGCAAGTCTGATATCTTGTTGAAGACGTCGTTCAGTCTGACATCTCTGTGCTCCTCGAGGTCCATGGCGGAAAAAGGGGTCTCGAGTCGGTTAAATGACGGGAAGGCGGTGTGAAAATGGGTGCGGAGTTAAATAGCATAGGCGGATATTTATTTTGTCGTAATATACGGTGTCGGCGATACCGGTAAGGGATTGGGACTCGACGAGACGTCAACTGGTCGGAGGTCTGATTCCGACTGCCGGCACCTCAGAGCCGAGGTGGTGGAGAGAATCAGCTGATCCGAGCCGCCCTCCCATTGGACGGAACCCGGCCAATCCGCTCGCACTCCCGCCGGCTTACATCTGCTTGGCAACAGTTCGCCTCTCGCCCTCGAACGAATCGATGCATCTCTTCCCTGACAAATGTCTTGCGTCTTTTTTCCCTTTTTTTACGTTCGATTTTTATTTCATCTTCGCCTTTTTATTTAATAAAATAGCCTTTCATTTCATTTCCTTTCACCCGGGTCAACACCAGTAGCCGGTTTAAAACGCCGACACAGGACTTAAATTATTACTTTCAGTTCCCTTTAAAAAAAAAAAAAAAAAACCCAAACGATCCAATAAATGTACTAAAAACAAAAACTGGAACTGTCGTACTAGCAAATCCATCAAAAACAAAGCTATTGATCAAACTTGACTGAAACTCCCAAAATAATGAGTCGACTAAGATTGACAATCCGTCATTCTCACTGAAATAAAGGGAATCTAACACTGAATTAGGCGATGTAAAAGTTTAAAAAATAAAAGTAATGAATAGATTACAACTATACTATCCTTTCAATCAATTTCACTCTTTCTCCCTCTGTCACACACTCTCTTTCTCCTCTCACTTCTTTTTACTTCTTTCTTAGCTCTCTCTCTCTCTNCTCTCTCTCTCTCTCTCTCTCTCTCTCTCTCTCTCTCTCTCTCTCTCTCTTCCTCTCTAAATTTAATTAAAATAAAATAAAATAATAAAATTGAATTGGATATATAAACATCATTAATCCTTGGTAACAACAATTAGTAATAATATATTTTCTCACTCTCAAAATATCTCAAAAGAGCTGACTGTTCGAGTTTTACAATTCATTAATCAATAAAAATTGTTGATGCATGTTAAAAACCAAAATGAAATAATAATAATTAAACTAAATTGGTCTATGTACGAGAATAAAATGATACATATTCTATTGCTAACAATTCATAATTGTTTTGCTTGCTCAGAATACAAATTGTAAATTTAATCTTTACTAGATAATCTATTTTCAAACCTAATACAAATTAATTATTATATATAATAATTTCCCTCCCCACACGATAAGCAACGGCATAGAATGGAATCCTCTAACGTCATACATTACTGGTTTATTTATAATTTAAAATAAATCAACGCCTTGGACAAATCGATTAACATGAAGTAATGTCAGAGTTGAATCTCAACTCCTTCCGAGTTGTTCTCGCTGGATGGCCAGAAAGGGAAGTCCTCTCTGGCCCAAGGTTAGTGTATTTATAACGTTCAACCGGTTCGTAAATACGACCACTTAAGAGCCCCCCCTCCGCGATTCGTTAGTTTGATTCCACCGAGGCCGATTTTCTCTATTAATTTTTTTTAGAATTTTCAATCATATGATGCGACAATGTTGCCTTTGTTATTCACGAAGCGACAGAAAACTTATGTTTTTTCCGTTTTGTTCTTTCCCATTTAGCGTAACGTAATCGATGTCACAATTGATAAATGACTCATAAAGAACTATGAGAAATTAAGTTTGTTTGGACTTCAGAAAATCGAGTTTTCTATATCATGCCTTCAAAAATCCACAAGTGGACCAATTATATTTACATCAGGTCAAAAAATTTTATATTTTTAAAATCTATCTATCTGCTTTGAACACGTAACGGAAATTTTTACATATTTCGATGTAGCAGGTATGAAATTTCAAAAATTCAAATCTGAGAATCATTAAAATTTATCAAATTAATGTGAATTTTATTTGGTTAGTTTATGAGTTGATCAACATTTGTCAACAGTTTCATTGAACTGATCGTACTCATATGCTTATTTATGTTATATATTTCAGTTCTATTTTAGTCCGTTGCCACCTTCATTTCAAAATATATCATGGGACTTCCAGAAAGTTCTGTAGTTCTTTTAAATTAATCTTGTCTCTTTGGGACTTTAGTGTTGTTTAATATTGGTTAGATTACAATGCAACCTTTCCCTATTTAAAAACACCAAAGTTTACTTTTTATTGCGACAGTATTAAACACTAATCCAGTTTTAGTTAACCGTTCAAACAGTTACAAGCGATATTGGTTAGTGTTGAATCCCAAATCTAAAGGCCATTGAACTAGTCGCAAAATTTGCTCAGTGTTTGGTGCTGAAAGGCACAATTTTGGATTTCAGAATTTCGTGATGGTGAACGTTCGAGGATGAGGCTTTTTTAAAACGGCTAAAGATTATTTATAACCAATAAGTGAGATGGGGTCGTCGGTGGCCGCAACTGTTTAGGCGTTGATACGGCGCTCATCACTGTAAGGTAAAGGTCCCGGGTTCGAATCCAGCAGCCCTTGCATTCGAACTCGACATACTTACAAATGGACTTTTTTTCAAAAACACCGGCACCCCGAGGGTTGATATGACCTCTGCTGTTGCGAACCCGAATTAAAAAATAAATTTAAAAAAAAATAAGTGAGAGATTTAATTAAATCAGATCCCAGTGAAACCTATTCAGAGGTGCTCCACAACTCAGACTGGAAATGATTAAAAAATTCTATCAAAGGATTTTTGAGTAAAATCTTTGTAATTGCAAAAATAAAAAATGTGTATACGTAAATATAATTGACGGTAATAAGCTTGTTCGTTTGTCTTAGCCTCTTCCTTAGCACCTTGCCTAAAGACAGATGCATTTTTGTATTGAATCATCATCACTTGAAGAATCGATCCGGTACTAAGAATCTTAATGAAGCACCTGTGGAAATTTCCTAATCCATCCGGAAAAAGTTTCACTATGTCCCGAACTGCGAAAGGTATTTTTTCCTCCACGTCAAACCGTCACAGGAGAAACTTACAATGTCAGTCAGGACCGGTGTCTTTTAAAATTTTGATCCAGGCTTAGTTAATCGAAAAAGCCTATTGACGTAAGAACACCGCAAACATTACGAGGAAAATTAATAGACATTGGATTTCATTTGCCACATCGGCCAAAACCTGTCGCAAACAGATCACCAGCTTTTCAGAACTTTCAACAACACCTGTAATCAGAAAATTTTGAAATACAACAAAATCGACTCGGGGCTTTTTATATGAATTTCTAAAATATAGATTTTTTTAGAAAAAGTTTGTCTACTTTGGGAGAGGGCAATGAGAGCCAATGGTGATGTACCACATAAGCAATAAATCGTGTTTTTTTTTTTTTTCAATTTATTTATTTATAATTGTTATTTTCATTGTACGAATCACATTTAAATACATTATTACGACTTTTACATATGGTAAGTTAGGTTTTTAAAAAGATTTTCTCAATTTTTCTGAATTATCATCGATAATTATTTTATTAACAATTATTATGATTTGCTTTCATTAGGGATTTAATGGTTATTCCTCATATATTAGAGATTTTCCGTATATAAATAATTTTTTTATTATTAATTTTGATGTAGGAATCACTGATAAATACGTCATTTTGATTTATCGCTTATCTGTGACACTAGGTTCAATTTTATTGGTTTTAAAAGATTTTTGTAGAGCTTATTGAAGTTGCCTTTTCTTTTTGATATCACAACCACTGATAAATAGGTCATTATGAATTATTAACGATAGATAGTAGGCTTAGTTCTATTATTGTTCAAATGTTTTCTCGAAATTTATTAACATTATTTATTTTTTAATTAAAGCAAAATTCAAACAGAAGGGAGAAAAAATAGATTTTTGACAAGTTTTACTGATGAATTGGCGAATTATTAGCATTATTATTATTAACTTCATTAGTTTCATTTTTTATTGGATTTTTAATTTTGTTTTTTCATTTGTTAGATTTTTCTTTCTTTGTTTCTTTTGTAGTTTTGTAAATTTTTTTTATTATTGTTCATTTATTAAAATATGCTGCTTTTTTTATAGGCATAACTGGTGAATTTTTGTGAATTATTAGCGATATTAGAATTCATTTTTATGGTTTTCTCAAGTTTTTGTCAATTTTGTATATTTTTCTTTCCTCTATCGTACTTTGAATTGGTTTTATTCGACTTTCATAGTTTTGTCATCCATTGTTTTTTATATATTTGTATATATTGTGTTGTCCCTGTCTGCCCACGCAGTATCATCAGTCTTTTCTTGAAATTTCTCCTATCATAACGTACATCCTACATGATCATGGGCAACGTTTTGAAATCCCTACTTAAAATTCATACAGAATAACCTATTTAATTGCTTTAAAAAAGCGATTTTCAAAATCTGCCATCTCTTGTTGTATTATTTTCCTTTTAATAAAAGGAGGGCGTGTTCGCGTGGAGCTCGCAAGCCCCCTTGGCTCCCAAGGCTATTTTTATTTATAACATCGTCAGAAGTATGTATCGTAAGTACGTGCGCTTTGGAATGGTTGTCACATCTCAAGATGTCTCGTAAGTCATCACTTTTCTTTTTGATATCACATAGCGAAACAATTTTGCATTAACTGCAAACTGTCGAAGCACGTTTCATACTCGAATAATAATACATTTTTAACATAGGGTTTGGATGAAAAGTACAATAATATAATAGGGAAAAACAGTAGATGTTTTCTAAGTGTAACCTTGAACTATGGTGCCAGTATGGAACCAATTTTACACTCTAGAGGATTTCAAACTCGTCATTATTGATTTCAAAATCGATCGGTAAATTTCCACCAGTATTTCTGTAATCGTTTTAATGTTTAATTTGACTGAAGCCTGTGGTCAAATCCAATTGGACTCGATATCGATGCTGGACAGATGACGGCCACTCGTGACACAATCTGTCCATCAATTTTATCCGATCATTTTCATTTTTGGAAACTGTCACCAACTTCGAAAACGTTTTGATATATCTTTATGAATAATTTTATACTTGCGGACAATGAAGGCTTTCCTGTTTTGCACGGTACCACTGGGACAATTGAAAACGATCGATCACACCAACGCCTTTTCGAGGGAAGTTGTGAAAAAGGATATAAATTAAGGAACAATTTTTTGGAAGTAATATCGGGAGATTTTTT